TTAAATGCCAACTTTTGTGCTGATTCTGCAGAAGATAATTCTTAGGCACTTCAGTCGAGGTGCTCTCATGACTGGTGTGTGCTTTGGATATGTGCATGCATTTTAGGCATTTGATTGTCGTGAATGACCAAATATTGAGGGCATTGTAGAAAAATTGAAAGATGTCTTGCCAGGGGTGAGTTTGAATCATTGTGTTCTAGGCTCACGCCAAAGTCTCCTTATACTTAAGCATAGAACTAATTGCTACTAATTACTTAGCCTGGGAAATCAAAGATGGCTGCATGTCTGGTCACATCAGTCATTAGTAGTAGAAACACCAAGTTACCTCCATCACTTACAGAAACTACAGAAATATCTTGGTCTCAGTGATCAAAGGGTCTCAGCAATAAATGGGTTCTAGGCCAAGATAATCGACTGAACTACAGCAGGCAGCCTCAACTTTTTGGTTTTACCCCCTTATTCAGAGGAAATCGGGATAAGGTCTTGTTGTTTTTAAATGAAACATTACAGAATGACATCACCTGCTAGTAGCTAGGCTTTTGAAGTCTATTTCTAGCTCTTTCACTGATTCTCCATTTTGACCATAGGCATATCATACAATCTTTCTAGGTCTCTGTTGACTTATGAAGGTGACCGAATCCTTTATTATTCAGCAGTGCTCTCATGACTTAGAGCATTTTTAGTTTGTTGGCTGTAGAACATCAATCAGGAATACTTTTATACTTGTATTCAGGTCCTGTTAAAACAATTTTAAAATTCCTTTCTGGGTTAGCCACTGTAGCTTGAGGATCTTAAGAACCACACCTCAAGCAAACTGAAAGATTTTGTTTAGTTCAGGTAATACTGACTGTATAGAAACTGGGGAAAGTAACATTCAAACATGGAATTATTCATGTAGGTGTCAGGTTAAATTAGGTGACAGGTTCAAATGTCACAATTTTTAAATATGTTCACTAGCATTTGAAATTCATACTCCTTCATAAAATTACCAGGGAACCTTAGTGCTGTAAAAATCTTTTGCCTCTACTGACAACCATAAAAGATGTGACTTAGTTCAGGTGTGTGTAGTAAATGCAGTAATTTGCTTGCAGGAACATTAAGAAACATTTCCTTAAAGAATTTTCTACTTTAGTTTGTCATATGCAAAAGCATTTTTCTTTTCCTCTCCTTGAAATACATGCTCAGTTTTCCAGCAGCTTTCCAGGTAGCAGTAGTTGTGGTAGGTAGGTTGTCCCGAAGATTCCTGGAGAGGCTGGGTGATTGGAAAAGAATCCTCTGGGAGCAGACTGGAAGCTTTGTTGCAGAATAAATCCTGTTCAGTTCTCCAGGTCTTGTATGGAGTAACTGGTAAGGGTTTGTTGGAATATTTATAAAAGAGGGTTCTCAGAGATAAAGAAAGCCCAGAATCCTTACCCAATATGGGGAGTTGTTTTGTTGTGCTCCAGAAATGTACATGCCGAGTTCTAGTTCTGTATGTGCACAAAGATACCTTGCTCTTATAAGAAAGTCGCCTATCCATGCAATCAGGAAAGGACTGGTGAATATCACCAGTCTAGTCTATGTTGAGTGTTTTGACTGTTCTTAACTTCTCTTTCTCACGTGTATGCAGCATCATTTCTTTATGAAATGAAAAAAGCAATAGAAAATACGGGATGACTTTAAGGGATTTAATGTATTCTTTTAGCAATAGTTTCCTTATGTGTTAAGTCTTTGCTTTGTGTTTTATATCTCTTTATGGATTGGCACAGACTTAGAACGCACAACTGAGATGATCATGTATCACTGAAGTGAATATAAGTTTTTCTTGTAGAATTTAAGAATCAACCAAATAAAGAGAATGGATGAAAAGGTAGGTAGTGTAGCATATGGTTTTGTAGTAGGATTTTGATTGCTTGTCTTTCCAATTCAGGTCAAGATCTGATGGAAAACTTCACAGGACCTACCTGGTGGGCTTCTAAAACCCATACTTTGGTAGCTGAATTGCAAAGCCATTAGCTTGACTTTATTTACCCAATATACTAATCTGTTAACCATTTTCATAATGCTCAAAGTGAGGTTCTGCTCTGTGGATTACCTATTTGGAACTGGGTGATTGTTACAGTATAATTAGTGCAGCATTTCTGCCTTGTAGGTGGCTTTCCAGGAGGTGCATACACTGTTAGCATGTATTTTTTGTGTAAATTTAGAGCTTGCTTTTATGATTTGATTGCACTCATTCTGCCCATGTTCTTAATGAAAACAATGGTTCCAATATTGAGCAGGTGTTATTTCCCAAGTTGACAGTCACAGAATGGCAGAATGGCTGAGGTTAGAAGGGACCTCTGGAGGTCACTGGTCCAATGCCCCTGCTCAAGCGGGGCTGCCTAGAGCCAGCTGCCCGGAACAGCTTGTGAGTATCCACATCTTCGAGGATGGAGGCTACACACCCTGTCTGGGAAAAACCAGTGAGGGTGTTAGTGTGTTAGTGGTTAGTGTTAGATAATACTGTTTCCAGGTGCATGTAAATATGTAGGTTTGACACTTTTCACTGTGGTTAATCTGTGTGAAACAACTTTCCAAGTTAGAAATGTTGGCACTTTTTCCATGGTGTGTCCTGAACATGTGGTGTTTTCCTTTAGAAGAACAGTAATAAATTTTAAAGACTTTTATTTTAATGTAGTTTGCAGAATTACGGTATTTTTTTTTTTTTGCTTAATCTGAGAACAACATGCTGTCACCAGCTATTATTATAGTGGCATACAGTTTTTTATTTCTGATATTTTAAATGCTTAGGTAATTTAAGCACTTGTACTGAAGAAATACGATATTGCATCTATTAGAAACAAATACAGCAAGAATGTGAGCACTTTAAATACAAAACCATGAAGACAATCTCATTTTGATCTTACATAGCTGCAGTCCCTAGCTCTTAGGGAATACCTGCTCTGGATACTTCTTGTTGACAGATGAAAAAGAAAATATGTTCATTATATAAGTAAATAACATGGAATAATGGTGTGGCTGTATGACCTTTTTGCGTGGCTTTTTATCTTCTGCATCACTGGAGATTCAACTGATCTATTATTTAAAAGAAAATAAGCCATTTTTTATGTGGCAGTGGCAGCTGTATTTTTTCCAGCAGTATGTCTGTTTGTTTTGAGGAGGAAGAATGACTTGGTAAATACTAAGTTTCTATTACTGTATTTTTTTTTCAGTGTAAGTGGAATTTTGCCATAGAAATTCTGGGGCTCTATAATGATGGCCAAAATTGTGTGCACAATTCTTTTTTTTTAAAAAGTGGCTTCTTTGCTTTGTGGACAAAAGCTGAACATGTTTGTTCCCTCTACTATGTAATTTACGTCCCTTTACTTACATAGTATACTAATTTATTTACTGAAATAATCTGTTCTGGTAGAATTTCAGCCAGGCATAGTTAAGGCTGCTTGCTATTCACTGCTACATATTTAAATTTCTTTTAGAAAGGCATATATAAAAGATGTTCAAGTGAACTGTAAAACGGGGTCTGTGGGATGAATAAATGTGGTTATATTGGTCCTTGATCTGAAGATTGTTCTCCATCCAAGGGAAGATGTATTTTGTCCTTGATAAAGGGAAAAAAGCTCAACCCAAACCCAAAACAACCAACCAAAAGCAAGAAACCCAAACCCATATAACACTTGAAAGGGAAATGAGGACTATGATTTTCAGTAGTAAACTTTCAGTTTTACAGGTTTCTGGGATATTTAGGTTTGGGTGGGTGGCAGTAAGAATTAACAGTAATGAAAGCATAGCTGCTGGATTTGGAATTTGAAGAAGAGAAGTTATATTTGGTGATAAAGAAGCAAAAAGAGAACTCAGTGATGGAGTAGTGGGATTGGAATGGAAACAGAACTGATAATTCATGTTGGGAGTTTGCTGAGTAACTGGTAAGATTACAGAAGAGGGAAGCAACGAAGATAGTGGAGAAGTTGAATTCATATATGGACATACTCTGCAATGAGTGTCAGTTAAGTTGAGATGCTTCTAGAAATATGAACGTAGACAGAAATAGATGGATTTAGGAATTGCTGCAGAGGATTAACAGGATCTGTTAGAATGTAATGAGCAAAGGACAAGTGAGTCTAGAAGAATATCAAGTATGAAAAAAGTGAAGGGTGAAGAAATATTATTGAATAGATGTGGGTGATTGCAGGAATACTGAAGCTCATAAAAAAAAGCCTTAACTCCTTGATATTGGAACTAAAATGGCAGTTGGAACAATGCAGGATTAGAGAATGTCCTATCTCTTTTGTCCAAAAGGAAGTTACTGATGGCCTTGTCTGTAGTTTCCGCAAAAGAGAAACACTGCAAAGTGTGGTGAGGAGTGAGTTACAGGACATGTATAAGTTACAGAAGAAAATGGTCCACTCTTGGACAGTGTGTGGGAGAAGGAAAGTAGGACAATAATACTAAGTTGTGAGGAACTGGAGACAGGAGAACTTAAAACTATAATTTGGAGGAAGTGAAGACAGACTGATAAAAGACAGGAAAGTATAAGAAGAATTTGGTAGACTGTAAGATTAAAATGCTGGCATCAGAACACATGAAGGAGTAGAACTCGGAAAGGAGAACTGGAAAAGTGATCATAGGGATGGAATGGAAAGGACCTCTCCAGTTGTATTTGTTTCTGGCAAGATCATAGAGAAAAAGAGGAGTTGGAGGAGAGAGGAAAGAACATGAGCACCAGTGACCATACAGTCAGATTAGGGAGACCCAGAAGTCAGTTATAATACTTGTTCACTAAAAGAATGGCTGAATAAAAGAGAGTGGAGCTCAACAAAGGAAGCTGACATGAGTTGCCAGATTTGAGTCATCCCCCTGATTCTGAGGTGAAGGAATATGCTTAGAGGAGAACTTGACTGTGCACCACAGCTGTGAATGCAAGATTCACTTACTGAACACAAGCATTGGATGTTTGTGTGTGTTTGGTTAAACAATTTAAATTTTGCTTGATTTTAATTTTGTTTGTTTTTATGTTTCAGGTTCGTGGGAGTAAAGGTGAAGTCCTTTATATCCTGGATGCAAGCAATCCACGCCATTCTAATTGGCTGCGGTTTGTCCATGAGGCTCCATCACAGGAGCAGAAGAACCTGGCAGCCATCCAGGTATGTGTGGTGAATTCCTACTATTTGCTTTGTGGAACTGATTTACTAATTTGATCTCCTCTTTGGTCTTTATCTCCTGCAGTAAAATCGCAAGATTTAAGAAAAGTAGCAAACTGCTTTCCTTTTCCTACCTTTCTTTTCAGAAGTGAGCTCTTATGCTTGAATATAATGCCATAAATAAGATTGATAGAATAAAGCACCAAAGGGGTCCTTGGAAAAAGCGCTAGTGAAGCCCTAGCATGTAGTTCTGTAAAAGTTGCATTATTGCTGTTCTTTGCCCTGCCCCTTCCTCTCTATTTGTACTCAGCGGGACTTGGAATTTCAGTTTCTGTGTTGATGACCTGTCCAACTGCTTAAACCTGCTGCTCACCAGAGGGACTGGTTTGCTTATTTGGATCTTAAGCAAGCACTGCCCAGTGAGGTGGGTGCTGCCAATTACCCTGCAGACCTAGTATCAGCTTCTGTTCCTGTTCCAGCTGTGAGCTTTCCTGTGATTTCCATTCCACTGTTGTATTTCCTACTATGCCTCTTCTGCCTGGCTTTTCTTCCGTTATCACAGTTGAATGCTACTGTTAGCAGTGTACTGCATTGGAAAACCTATGTGCTTATCTGCCAACCATTGCTTGATTTGTGCCTCCTACTTTCCAAAGCTCTAGTATTACTGAATGTCAGTCTGTGACATTCCATCACAGATTGATGGCTGAGTATGACCACAGTTTTGCTGCCTACACTGTTTTCTTGGACCTTGTTGCTGTTCCTATTTTAGGTCGCTGTTGAACAGCTTTGTCATCCGCTTTTTCTCTGAGCCTGTACTCTAGGTTGACTTTGGGTCAGACCTCTTTAGGTCTTAACATCTAGGCTACAGTTGAATTTTGAGTAACAGATAAGAAAAAGTGTTCGTCATTCATTCAGCAAAAACTTGTCAGCAATGACTGACTGCTTTATTGTGCTTTTCCTGATGTCTGTGACAAATCAGTGGTTAATAACTGCAGTACAACCGCTGCTTATGCAGTTATTTCTGTATGTTTTCCTTCATTTTGGTCACTCAGGTATACCATGATCTATCAAAAGATTTGTTATAGTACCAGATAATGAGAGGCCCTCAGACATGAGAAATCCCAGGGGTTAGTATGGCATCAGCACACAGGCAGTGTGATAGCAAGTACAGTCAATGTTAGCAAATGCAAAGTAAGGTTCACAAGATGTTGCCTAAATTTTTAAACAGTGTGAACAACTAATGTTCATTATTATATTTTAAATAAAGCAGTCAGTAAAATGACCTGAGTTTCTCAATAGAAGCCATAATGGAATATCCAGTGCAAACCAGTGTTTTTTTTTTGGTAATGAAAACAATTATTTAAATAAAGAAATGAAAAGAGACTGTTATACTGTATCACGTAACATTGTACCTTGCTTAGAGTGTGCTTAGTGCATTTTGCATGCCTTTTAAAAGGATCATACTGGAGTTAAAGGATAATTGAAAAAGGAAAAAGAGTGGCAAGAATGTTAGTCCTGTGAAAGCTTCCACAGAAAAATATTTAGAAAAATTACAGAGAAAAATAGAATAAACACAATCAGCATGTACAAAATTGTGAAAAGGATGGGGAAGGAAAACTTAGGAGAACAAACAAAAAATTTATCTCATAGGGTGTTTTTTAGTATTGTCAGTAATCAGCTGCCAAAATAACTTGTGTATTCCATGCGACTGACCTTGAAGCTGTAGAGATATGTATGTACTTGTAAGTATTTAATTGCATATAACAAGAATAGGTACTACTTGTGTTGAAAAAAGCTGTGTATGGGTGTATTTCTTTGCAGGGTTTGATCTCATTCAGTAAATGGTAATGCAAATCCCAAAGCTTACTCCTTTAGGAGAAAAAAAAAATCCAAACCTAACCCACAAATGCTTCATTATTTTAATTCCACAATCTTTTCCATTAATGATAAGCAGATTTAAGGCCTCTTGGTGCAACAGCACTTTGTTTTATGAAAAAAAAAAAAAGTGGGTAAAAACATTGGTGGAATGTTTCCACTAGCGATACCTTTTAATTTGAATTGAGAGTTGCCTGCTTGCCACCAAGATGATAAAATTATATTTTACAAAGAGCAAGAAGTTATGAATTACATCAATAAAGTTGTTCTAGTTTCATTAGCATTACTCATTTTAACGTGGCTGTGAAAAATAGTTTGTAGCAAACGTAAAAATTCCTAATCTTAAACTAACTGAATCAAGTAAAATATGTCTGCATATTTATAAAAAGGGCTAATCTACTAAGAGGAGAAAATAGAATAGTTAGAGATGGGTGGAGGCTTTGTGTCTTAACTAGCACATTACAATTACCTTTGTGAAATGCAATTTTTCTCCAGACATATGTGTTTCATGAAGACTGTTGTGATGTTGCCTAAATTTTTAAACAAGTGTTTGAATTTTCTGTCTCAGTTCTGCTGTTTACTCTTTAAAATGAATCTTTATCAGGGAATCTCACAAGTTAGAAATTGTTTCCTTGAGAATATTTGACTGAGAGTAATGATATGATAGCCTATAAAATGTGAAAATAAAGCACAGTGGTAGAACAGGGGCTTCTCTTGCTTGTCCTAAGTCTGTTCGATGAATGCTTAAGAACTTCATGCTGGTTGTGTGCTTCAGAGCTGGCCCTTTGCGAATTTCTAGAAGACTTTGTATGAACTAACAAAAACATGAAGGGAAAATAATGATTTTTTTTGTTTATACCCACTAATGCTGATGCCAACTAATTATCTTTCCCACTAGTTTTCTTTCCAGTTTCCAAATACTCCAAGGATCTTCTTGGTCTGCTCTGAGAACATTTCCAATCACTCTAACAGTAGCTACATATTTCCTGGATTGAGGTTTCTGCCCTCACAGACATTGCTGAGGTTGGTTTTACTCTGGGCAGCCTGACACCCTGGAGCTGCAGGCAAAGATCAGGGGAAACTTGGTAAGGATTAGGAAGGCTGGGTTGGAGCAAGCTGGTCAAGCTCTGGAGGATGGGCAAGCCCTACTCTTTCTAAAGTAACAAAAGACTGTCTGCTTCCTCCTTTTCCTGTGTTTTCAGCTTTCAGGAGTGATGACATATGTCTTACACTTTTGGATGGAAGTGTGAAAGGTTGTGAATGGTTCCTGGCTGTTTTGGTTTAAATTCTAGCCAGACAGCTTGTTCACTGACTCCCAGTGAGTGGTGCTGGGCTGGAAGCAACCGAGGCCCCCCCCCCCCCCCCCCCCCAGGCTCTCCCCTTTCCCACTCCCAGAGGAATGGGGAGGAGAATCAAAAGAATGCAACTCCCACAGGTTGAGATAAGAACAGTTTAGTAACTAAGGTATAACACAAATCACTACTGCTACCACTAATAATAATAATGATAAAGGAAATAACAAGGGAGGAGAATACAACATCTCACCACCAGCCGACCGATAACTCTCCTTCCCAGCCTGACCAAGTACTGACCGATACCTCGTCCAACCGCGCAGTCCCAGCCCTTCTGGGTAACTCCCAGTTACATCCTGGGCATGACATGTTGTGGTATGGAATACCTCTTTGGTCAGTTTGGATCAGGTGTCCTGTCTCTGCTTCCTCCTGGCTTCCCCTCCTCCCTGGCAGAGCATGAGGCTCACAAAGTCCTTGGCCAAACCAAAAACATCAGGCTGAAAGTCAAAACACAGCACTGCACCAGCTACAAAGGAGAAAAATGACTGCTACTGCTGAACTCAGGACACTGGACCATGTTCCCTTTAAGTATTCCCTCTTACAAAGCACATGTGAAGGTGTGAAACTATGGAAAAGCCAAGAACCTGAGTGAGATATACCCGTAGTGGAGCAAAAATGGGCTAGCAGAGCTGTTGGAACAAGAAAACCATTTGCTGGGCAGGTCAGTGTGGCTCAGAGCTTAGAAGATGACTGTTAAGGCAGAGGGTGAGAGAATCAAAGTGGAACAATAAACCAAGAAAAGCATGAAGGGAGGTTGTGATGCCATCATGACCAGCACTTGGAGTTTTCTCTCATTGTGGCTTGCTGCAGATAGCAAAACAACTAGTGAAACAACCAGCATGGCCTAAGTAGGTAGACAGGGGGAACAACTGCAGATGAGTTCTTAGAAATGGGAGGATTATTAGAGTTATTTAAAAGATTTCTTGCTACATTCAGTGTCTCTGCATGCATGTAGGTAAATGTGCTTCATTCAGGAGCTGCTGGTGGGTGGAGAGAGACTTAAATTCGTTTGTGGTTTCTGGAGATACTCCATTGATTTCACTGAAAATGCTGCCTTGGGGAGCTACTACAGTGTGAGTGTATCTGGATTAATTAGTGCTCTGAATACCTGACTACTAGCATTTGTTTGTCTGGAACACCCAGACAAATTAGCCTTGGAGGAGAAATGAGTTTGAGCTGTGTTTTAGTGTGGCCTGGCACCAGAGCTAGTTTCTTTTCAATGTGAATGCAACCAAGAGCACTCAAGCATTGAGAGTCCCTGGTCCTTCTTCCATTACTCTCTTTACTATTACTCTCTTTACTAACCAAAAGTATGCAAATGGGAAAGAACCAGTCTGTTCTTAGGCATGAGCTATAAAGTAAGCCCTGGATGCACATAACTCAAGTGCAGAGATGGTGAGGATGTAACAGTATTGATAACAGCTTGGTTGTTGGGGTTCTTACACTTGGTCAAGGTTAATCTGAATAATTCTGGTTGCTGTTTTTCTAGATTTACTGTGTGGTGTAGGATGACTTAATTGAAAGGTGTAAGTTTGGGGTTTAATTTTTGCCTGGGATATGTGGCTTTTTCTTCTATTTATTTATTTATTTCCTCCCTTTGGCAAGCCATTAATAGGTGCATGCTTCCATTTATAAGGTTGCCTTGCTTTTAGCATAAGGTTGTCCTAAACAGTGATGTACTGGAGGTTTACCCCAGCAGTTTTATCCTGTCTAAGTGGAGACCGAGTGTAGAAAGACCTTTTACTTTTCCTCGTGTCAAGAGTTTCACTACATGGTTTGAGTTTAGACTGTAGCAAAATAAGGGGGCTGTGCAACTTGACAGAGGCATATGAAAACCAGCAACTCTTGGATGTATGCAGAAGTTAGGGTGGCATGCCAGTAGATATGTGGACTGAAGAATATATCTTGAAAAAAATATGCATAATTTGTTTTTTTTTTCAAAAGCTGCTGTTGAGATAAGGACAGAGGAGTGGTGAGTCCTTCAAAGCAGCAGGTGTATCAAGTCTGTTGAATTAAATAGGTTTCACTCTTGTGTGACAATATCTTGTGTAGTATACAACAAACCTTCTAAAGCTTGAGAAATACTACATCCCTGTTAACAATTTAAACTAATCTTAGAGTATTGCAAAAATTAAAAATCATTATCGTGTCCTTGTGCTAGGAAGCTTGTTGCAAAATATATGGCTAGATATAATGTAAAGAAGTGTCAGATAACTTTTCTGGATGCTAATCAGAGAAACACTACGATTTATGGTAGAACTTTGAAACCTTAATTGCATGAAAACGAGTCTCCCTTGGTACTTTGGGTAGATTCTAGAGGATTTGGTTCGCATATGGGAAGGAAAAAAAGCAGCAGTTTAGGAGGGAGACAGTTTTGTTGTAGAAGCCCCTCTCATGTTCCTCACTCAGCCCCTCTGCCAACCTTGGTAACTTTAAATAGTCAAAGACCAAAGTTATTAGCTTATGTATCTATTTGGAAGCTTGTTTATTCATTGGGGTGAAGGTTTTGGAGCTTATCAGTACATAGCTTGTCCTCTTGTACAGAATCTGGGCTGGATCTTTGGCCTTCTGTGGATCTCTGAATCTACACTGATTTAAACCAGCAGAGGGTTTTGATCTAGTGGTTTAAAGTGCATTTTACAGATGTTCCTGCTAACTTGATAGTGAAGATAATTGACCAGGGATGGAAACCTCTTCATGAAAAAGGCTGGGAATCTTAAAGGAAAGAGAGACAAAGTAAACAAAAGTATGTGAACATGCTACTGAAATATAATTTATGCAGCCAGCAGCAAATGGAGCTAAAGCTGTATTGGTTATTTAAATTGGGTTATTTTTCTAATACTCAAATGTTTCAAACTTCAAAGTTCTTGTCAGGCAGAGTGTGTTAGGAGAGGAGGACTTTAATACCACCTTCACCTTGGTGTAAGCTATGGTACCTATTAGAAAAGCCTCACAGGTGAGGCAGGGGGATATTTCCAGAATACAAGGATGCTTAACCATGCAGCCACCCTGGGAAAGAAGTCCTAGAAAGGCAGTACTAGCGTTGTGTTCCCTGAGGAATTGAGCCATCCCTTCCATAGTTGAAGGCTAATATTAGTTCAGGGTCCCATACTTGTCTCTAGAATTTACTTTTTCTGACGTAATTATTTATTGCTTCTACTTACTATTTGCCACAGGAAGGGGAAAATATTTTCTATCTGGCTGTGGAAGATATTGAAACAGACACAGAACTTCTGATTGGATACTTGGACAGTGACATGGAAGAAGAGGAGGAGGAGGAAGAAGAAGTAACTGTTACCCAGGAAGATGAAGGCAGTGGCAACAACAAAGAAGTGCAACCAGCTGGTGAAAAAGTTGCAAGTGAGCAATATTTTAGAAAAGGGTAACTTGGGAGCTTAAAAGAAGAAAGAGAATGCTAATTGCATAGGATTGGGGAACTGGAAGGCTTGCCAGGTTTAATCTGAGCTCTTGTATGACTTTTATCTGTCTATTTTCCCCTTTACTCTGCTCTTGTCCCCTCTACTCTGCTCTTGTGAGACCTCACCTGGAGTATTGCAGTGCAGTTCTGGTGTCCTCAACATAGAAAGGACATGAAACTGTTGGAACAAGTCCAGACCACGAGGATGATCAGGGAACTGGAGCACCTCCTGTATGAAGATAGACTTAGAAAGTTGGGGCTGTTCAGCCTGGAGAGGAGAAGGCTGCATGGAGACCTCATAGCAGCCTTCCAGTATCTGAAGGGGGCGTATAGGGATGCTGGGGAGGGACTCTTCATTAGGGACTGTAGTGATAGGACATGGGGTAATGGTTAAAATTTAAACAGGGGAAGTTTAGATTGGATATAAGGAGGAAATTCTTTCCTGTTAGGGTGGTGAGGCACTGGAATAGGTTGCCCAGGGAGGTTGTGAATGCTCCATCCCTGGCAGTGTTCAAGACCAGGTTGGACGAGGCCTTGGGTGATGTGGTTTAGTGTGAGGTGTCCCTGCCTATGGCAGGGGGCTTGGAACTTGATGATCTTAGGGTCCTTTCCAACCCTAACTATTCTATGATTCTGTGATTCTATGATTTTGATTTGAGTTGAGGTTCTTTTCGTTGCCTAATAGGAAGCAGCCAGTCCTGTGAATTAGTGAGTGAGTGAGCCTAGATTTCATGAGAAGCTAACATTAATTTTGGAACTAAAGACAGAATTCATTTCACCTGACGTGTAAGTTTATGGAAGTTAAACTTTTGCTCTAAGAGGGGTAGTGTCCCTTTTATTAGATGGGAGAGCAATAAAACTTCTCATAAAACTCTTCAGCCAGTCCTAAGGTAAAATGTCTAAGAAAAGGTGAGCTGTCTGGTGAGTTCTCGGCATCTTTACCAAAGTAGAAACAATCTGGGTGAGTAATTTAGTCTAGCAGCCTAAATCACACCCAACTTAATACTTTGCGTCCATTTGCAATTATGTTGGTGGTAATCCACTCAAGATAGGCTATGATCTATTCAGAGACAAATATCTTTTGTGAATTTTGTGATTCCATTTTGCATATAATGTAACCAAATATTCCTTGAAAACTATTCCTTTACTGGTTTTGCTTCCAATCATGCAGATCCCCTCACCTGTAAAGAAGAGCATGCATGCCCAAACTGTGAATCCAGTTTTGCTAGCCAGGAGATTCTAGCTGAACATCTTCAGACTTTGCACCAAAAACCCAGTGAGGAAAAGGAATTTAAGTGCCGAAACTGTGGAAAGAAATTCCCTGTGAAACAAGCTTTACAAAGACAGTAAGTAAAATCAGGAGTGGTTTTTTTTCAGGGATTACTTAAATCAGTTTCATTGTCATTTATTTCTCTTGGCTTAATCACTAGTTAGTAGTTTAGGAGATGTAATTTTTAAGCTGTGGATGTCATTACAGAACTAAGAAACAATTTAAAAGAAAGTAGATGGTGATCTAGAAGCACAAAAAAAAAGGGGAAAACAGTGCTTCATATTTGCTTAATTATTTGGGTGATTTAAAAAAATTTGAAACATGAAAGACGTGAGATTTAAAAGCACATCTTTACTGTCCTTGATAGTGTAAATATGCAATTTTGTCACTAACATATGTTACAGTTACACTTTTGTACAAAACCATAACTGTTTGTCTTTTGTATATATATTTTTCTGCTTGCATTTAAATAGATCTATTACTTATACATTTAATTACAGATAGTACCTTAAATGCTTAAGTGATTATGGATAGTACATTTAATTTATCTTGCATTGAAACAACCAGACTTATATTGCATAGAATGTACTTAAGGCTGCTCTTGTAATATATTGGTCTTCCTTACATCTGAATAATGTGAACATTCCCAGAACTGGCAGCTCTACTTGAGCTCTGTGTTCTTTCATGGAAATAAAAAAAATTGTGTAGCAAAGAAGTATTTGATGGAGGCAGTTAAACAGTTTCTCTTGAACTTAGACTTGTTCCTTCTCATCTATAGTGGAAGTTGGATTTGTGCTGTATAGCTAGTTAAGTAAATATTTACAACATGTGAAGTAAGAATGATCTGCATGAGGATACAGCAGTATGATCCTGACTCTTGCTGTTTATGTATTTGATTAGTCCCACTAAGTTCCAGGAGACTTCACATATGAAAGAGATGGTTCACCTACTTGAGTGCTTGTAGAGCCGTATTTTTTTTTACCTACTGCAAGCCTGTGTAAGTTGTAGAATGTTCCCCTTACTTTGTTGTTTTTATTTTTCCTTAGTGTACTTCAGTGCACAGAGAGTATCAGCCCAGGAGACACTTCAAGAAGTTTTCAGTGCTCTGTTTGCAATATTTCCTTCAGCTCAGAATCGAGGTTTTGTGTCTGAGTTACTGGAGTGCTGTCATATCATTACTGGCCTCCCTTTGCATGTTAGCTTTCAAGCTTGTTAGTTTCTGTGAATCCTAACAGTGAAAGAAGTCAAATGCTTTCCTTTCTATTTGCTGTAAGTAATGCATGAGGTGGCCTCATAACTCTGAAGTGCAGCATGCGTTAAGCTCAGAGTACTTGCTGTGTGTCTGTTTTTTGTAGATGCTGCTTGATGTGTTGCTTTTTTGTTTTGTTTTGTTTCGTTTTTTTTTTTACTGGTTATCCCATATAGTTACGAACAGCACAAGGAGGCATGCAGAGGGGATGCCAGGTTCATATGCAAGGCAGATAGCTGTGGAAAGAGGTTCAAGAGTAAGGATGCTCTGAAAAAACATAAAGAAAACGTTCACAGTGGTAAGACATTTAACATTTCTTTGGAAGAAACTCTCTTAACATGTAACTAGCCTAAAATTTTCAAATCAGAGTAAACATTGTCTTTGGTTTCTTTTTTAATGGATTCATTTGTTTCAAAAAGAAAATTGAAAAGTAACTAATTGCAAGAGTTCCTCCCCCAGGGAGAAATTACTCTGTACCAGATGAATCATTAATCTACTGCAGAAAATGTAATAGAAATCTGGGGAAGTTTAAACAAGGCAAATAATAGATAGTAGTGAGGAAAATCAGCCACTGGCACAAGCTACTACAGGAAGTGGTGAGTTCTTGATCTTTTGGTATTTTTGGGACACAATGGGATGCCTTTCTGGAAGTCATGCTTCACAAATGATTAGGCTTGATGTGGGTATGGCATAAAATTCTGTAGCCTCTGTTGTGCAGGAAGCCAGACCAGGCAATCCAATAGTCCCTTTAGGCCCTAGCATTTTTGTATCTGTCCACTATGAATCAATACTTTTCAATCAAACTTCACTCTGTTTCCATGAAAGAGCAAAAGAGCAAAATACTGCTCTCAGGTCCACAGTGCAGATCTCAGTTCTGGCATTCTGCTTTCTCTGTATGTCCCCTCTGAATATCAATGGAAGATCAGTATCTGTGGGGATAGCAAATTACCAGAGTGCAAAGAAAACAGTCTTTAGTTGATGATGACAGCACTGAGATGCTTTGTAAGATTTTCATTACTTGAAAACGTCTTTTCTGCCAAACTTCCAGTGTAAAAAACCTATTCCATTACCTTCCTTACAAAAGGTTATCCGCTTTTTTTCAGTATCAATAAGGTATTTTTTAATCCATGAGCATTATTATATTTAGGCTTAGCTTTGGCCAGTTATGTGGTTGTATAGAAATTCTACAATTCTTTTGAATGATCACTTCAGACATGACTGAGAGCAGATGCCTGAAGGATGTTTTTGCTCTGCCTGCACAATGAGCAGAGCTTTTATTTTACCACTGGGGAGTCATAAAAATCACATCTGGTGTCAGTGCAGGAAGTAAAATAACCTAGTGCTGTTGAGGGACTCTTACAGAACCCCTTCTTGCCGTGTGTCACCAGGAGTCAAGGGAAAGTAGAAAGGATTGTTATGCGTGTTGCCTGTTAGACAAAGCTATGAACAGATATTATCACCTTCCTCTCCTCTGAAAAGGTCTTATAAATTTCTTGTAAGTTGAAGTGTATTCCTTTATCTATGGGTATATCAGTATATGTAAATACTTGTCATAAGTTTTAGAACAGCAAAAGCATATGTTGAGATTAAGTTGGGATTTTTTATACTACAAATTTAAGTATTGAACCAATTGGTTGTAGTAAGAAGAAACAGCATAATAGGACTTCTTAGGACAGCAGGAGGAGGAAAGATGTAGGATACTGAGAGTCTTGGAAATTGAGCTGGAAGTCATCTAATGAATTAGTTTCTGATCCATACTTTGTGCTTGACTCCTCTTCCATTCTATGTCCATTCTTTTTACCTTCGTTTATATAAGTTAGGAAATATCTTGCATGGGCATGTAATTCTAAACAATTAGGTTTGTGGTGGCTTTGTCTTGTAATAAAACAGCTTTGAGGTTACTAAAATGAATTTCAAAGTGTAAGTAATAGATAAGCCCCATTAAATGCTCTGTCACCTTTTGAAACAGCTGTGAAAAGGGAAGGAAAATACATGCAGTAGCTGACCTGTAGCTTGTTTTGTAATTTACATTTTAGATGAGGTTTTAGAGGTTTCAATTCATGATACAATTTTCTTGTCTTGTTCAGTTAAAGTCTATTAAAGGTATATTATTTTATATAGTAGAATGCTTAATGCTTTTTGAATAAAATAAGAAATGGTGGTTTTGACTTCAGTTTGGGAACTTTTTTTGTCACTGCTGCACTAACTCCTGAATTGACTTCTGGAAGAAATCAACTGTTCAGTTGTAAAGTGAGTTGATCTTAGTTGTGAATTATGCTCTTCGTATTGGATTGGTGATGTGTGATAACATGTATTTGAAGGGTGTTTTTCTTTATTGTTCTAGTTTTCTTGGTTTACATTCCATCATTAACTGGTTTGTTGAACACCCACAGAGAACTGATTTGAAACACTTTGAAGATGAGATACAAACATAAAAATCTTATGTCAGTCAGATGAGCTGTGAAAACTCACAGACTCAGTAGAAATATTCAGGTTCGTTCTTAGCACTTCCTTTTTTAGATGTTGGTGGTAGTTTATTTCTGTTTCAGGAAATTCTAGGAAGAAGCTGATGTGTTCAGTGTGCAATAAGAAATGTTCCTCAGCAGCAAATCTCCAAGAGCATCGAAAGGTCAGTAAGATGAAGGCTAACTCACAGCAGGCTTTAACTTCACTAAGATGTGAGACTGTGGTGCTTAGGTCACTTGAAAGCTGCTGTAATGCAGACCTTCGCATAATCTCTTTCATGGTTACAGAACAAATGTATTTTATTGCAGGTATTTATTTTTGTAATCACAATCAGTTAAACCAAAATCTTCCTAACGTTTTAATGCATCTTTTACCAAAACCAAAGATGTTTGTGCTTGGGTCATTTATGCATTCCATCGTTAAGTCAAAGTTGCCTGCTGTTCTTAAGCATTCTTAAGATACTAAGCTAAATGTAGAAGTATGTTATATACAGGATTCATACAGACCGTAAAATAAGTTCATGAGCCTTAAGGTTTTGTACAAAATACAGTCAATCTTTCATATTACTTTGTAACATACCATTAAAAGGGTTACTTGTAATTTAGTTATGCAGTAGTAAATTTTTTTTCTCCTCAAAACCAAATTGTTACTGTCTTCTTGTTTATACCCCTAAGTTTTTATAACCAGAACAGGAGGGGTTAACAGTTTGAAAAGCATCTGTTGCAGATAAATACAGATGGACTATGACTATGAGATTCTGAATCCATTGTACCCAAAGGAAGTCCCTGCAAGATTAATTTGATAAATGACTAAAACCCAGGAGATTGTTTTTACAAAATGATACATTGTACTGTTTATCAGATTAACTGTAAGTCTTTAATAACACCCTTGTTATAACCTGAATCCATTGAGGATATACATGATATGAACTAAAATATGTTGTTGCAAAGGAAATGGTGGCCCCCTCCTTTTTAGTTTTTCTTCTTGCTTATATTACTAAAACTGCATTTCTTGTGTAACAGAGCTATATTTTATTACTCCTCAGGCCAAATCTTGGTATGCCTTGCCACATGTAATTGCAATTTTTACACATCCAGTGCACCTTATGTTGGTCCTGAAAATAAAGGATACTATTGTTAGGGTGTGCATTTTACTAAAATGTTTGGTTTGTTTCTGTGCAGATTCTCTGACACAAACTAACAAACTTTTCAAGTAACATTGATGGTTGCTCAGGTGAGCACTTACTCAGCTTACGAATCACCATGAAGATTTTATGCATACAACTTTTTTTCCTCTTCTTTATTGGCTCCTCTTTTATGACATCCAGTAAATAGATATTCTGGATTCACACACCTACATCAGATAGTGATTGAGATGGTATGTAGGACTTATGACTTCTGTTTGCTTGATTTACTTTGCATTTCTAGGTATTGGGGCTAGATCCATCACAAATATTGCCATAAATATTTTGACAGGCAAAAAATCCCAACAAACCAGTAAGAAAATAATGGGTGAAACAGATAGGAAAAGTGATTGTTTTTTCAGCCATTTCCTGTCAATGTAAAGAAATAAAAGTTGAGAATATAAGGGTAAAGTATAGGAGAGAACAGAAAATAAGCTCAAGCAACAGAGAGAGAAATCTGACAGAGAAAGAAGGTAAAGAGTGTGGCTATAGGGAAGATTAAGAAATCTGTTTACTTTCCGAAGAGACGGTTATTCAGATCTCTATCTTTCATGTCATCTTTGATTTAAACCCGTTTTTACCTATGTATGTCCTGCGGATTGCTTGCACCTTAAATGTCTAAAGATAAGCCCCTTCTCAGCCGTGCACAATTAAACTCTGCTGTCATCATTGTCTGTCATTTAGTCTTACCTTGTTTTCTAGACTGTTGCTTGTACCATGCTAATTTTTGGTAACATGATCTTTTTTTGTTTGTTTTGTTTAACCTCAATAAATTCAAGGTGGTACAGGGCTGGAAGAGATCTCTGGAGGTTGTCTAGCCCTCTGGTTCACAGAAGGAAGTAACTATATACCTAAATCATTCCAGATATGTGCTATCTCATCTCCTGAAAAGTTCCACTAAAGAAAATTCTACCACCCCCATAGATGTCTCTTTGTATTCTCTCTTTTGGCTTTATTGCCATCAACTTTTTTGCAATATATTTATTAGTCCAGTGTTTGTTTTTTCTGGTGTTTACTGAAATCTTCTTTACTGCAAATTAATTGCTCTTTGTCTTACCTGAGAGAATGCTGAGAAAAATTCACCAGTCTTCTCTGTAGCAGCACATTGGAAAGTTGTTCTGAACTCCATTTGCAATTTCTAAGCTGTACAAACACACTTATCTCAGTCTTTCTTGATGCATCTGTTTTTCCAAACTGCTTTTTCTTTCAGTAAGCTTTTTCTTCCTGTGGATTATCTTTTTTTCACCTATGTGTTTCTTGAAATCAGCTGCCCAGACAAGAAGAGCATTGGTGTTTAGTTGAGCCTTTGGTAGTGGCAAGAATGGAAGAATGATTGTACTAAGTTTATTAACACATAGAATATATTTATTAATACAGAATGACAGTGCTTTCTGACAGTAGCCTCAGTCTCATTATTCATACTTTGGAATTCATTAATCTTTTCTGTAGTGGTGCTATATGTAAACTGTTGGTCATCATTTGTGCATTTGATTTCTCCTTTCTAAATATTGAGTATATTGGAGCTTCATTCAGAGTGTAAAAACTGTTTTGAATTCTCATCTTACTGATTACAATCCAAACCAGAACAGCCTCATCTATATTCAAATACAATCCAAAACCAGAACAGCCTCATCAAATTTTATATTTGATTTCCAAAACTGCTTACCATAATACTACCCTCCTGCTTGATGCCTACAAAACTTTAACAACAATTATGGTGCGTGATGCCTGCAGAACTTGAACAGTTAGGATGTCGATCCACTGATCATTGCTTTTTTTGATGATCAGTATCTTTTTGATTTCCATTTTGTCCATCCACCTATTCTCTTTTGTCTTACCCTCCAGTTGTAAAGTAAAATCCTTCTATCTGGTATTTATAGTAGTCTGTGCTGAGTGATATGGTCGTGTAAACAGACAAACCAACCAACCAACCCTCAGCAAACACAACTAAGGCAGTGCTGTACAGGAGCTTACAGAAGACTGGGTAATAGAGTGAAAAAGTTTGTTGTAAAATCTCCTTTCTGCAGGTTTCTGATTTCTACTGCCAGGGAAGATGCAATACTATCTGAATTATATTTTGATACTAAGCTCTGAAATTTAGGTAAAATGCAGAACTCCATCATTGAACAATGATAAAAGTGAATAAGCAAGTGAGGAGAGTGTTGTCTTCATTGATGCAGATTATTGCTAAAGGGTTCCCTTTGTACCTTTGAATATAGCCGCCATGTTTTGGATTTGAATTGCGCACAGGAACTTAAACTTCAAAGCGAGCATGTACATGTGAATAGCACAGGCTGCCAGGCCTCTCCACTGATGCTGTAATGTTCATTAAGTGCAAAGGGAAGAAAAATTCAAACAACTCTCAGTTGGTAATTTCTTTTCCCAGTCAGAACTGATAGTGCTACACTTTCAGCACTTACAGGGTGTGTGTGGGGTTATGTCTCTTTCTGGCTGTAGAGCTGTGAGGTGAGTTTCTGACTGTAGTTGTAGGCAGGTGTCTTGAATGGTAAAGTAGCGAATTCTTTTATGAGAAGAAGGCTAAGGACACCTTAGAGTGTAAGACAGGAAAACATTTTTGATTTTGAAGAAGGTCATAATATGAATGCCTGTATAAAATGCAGGATTGTGCTTCAGTGGTAAGACTAGTTTGTGCTGTTGGCCTTCTGGATTTCTTAGCAGATTTCTTACATGAATCTGTAAGGTTCCAGTAAGAGGCATGCTGTAGCATGGTCTGCTGCAGAGAAAATGACAGAATAAAGAGGGATTCTACTCATTGTTAGAACAATGATCAGAGATTGAGAACGTTTTATTGCTCATGAAAAATCCTTGACTCTTTCTTAACTTTCTTTGTTATAGAGCTGGACTTAATGTAAAATTATGATGAAGAGAGTCACTCTTAAACATCATCTGTGATTCCCGCCCTCCCTCTCACCCTTCTTTGTCTTCCAGTTCTGAGTGTCTCTCTGTTGGGGTTTTTCTGCCCATTTGTTTAACACTGGGCAGTGTTTAGTTCTACTCTGCAATTTTCATTTTTCACTATTACTGTAAGAGCTATAGAAAGGTAGAAGAAACCAAATTTTGAGCACTGCTTTAAAATCATCAGTAATACTTCATAATTTAAGTTGGGTGCAATATTCTCATATCCGTGCTCTCTCAAAGCACTGCCTTCCAGCATATAGAGTCTCATCCAGTTCTTGGAGCGGTAAATTGAAATTCATATTAGTTTCTGGAAAAGCTGATCATTGGTTACTTGCATCTTCAAAGCTTTAGCTCAGCTGGTCCCCTAAAACTCTTTCAGAAATCACCTTTTGCTTTTCAGTAGACCTCATGAAAATTTTAAGATCATCAGTCCTGTAAGTGAAGGAGTGTATTTATCTGTGCATATGTTAATTTTGTTCAGATGCTTGCTGTTTTGTATAGCTAGTAGTTATCTGAAGGTGTAGCTCTTCAAGTGCCTGTGAAACTATTGTAAGTATGTTCTGACTCCAATGTAGCAAAGGTTTATGTTGATGGCTATTACAGCTAAGGAGACTAATTTTGTTACACAAATAAATCATTGCATGAGCACTTGTCTGTCGTATTACAGCCTGGATGCTCATAAATCACCTTATTGGACAAGTTTTCTTACACTGAAAATCTATTTGAATATAATTATTAATTAAAATATTTGCTATATTTTATTACTGTTGTTTTACCATGTAATGATGCACTTTTCTAAAGAACTGATTAAAGAGTGCCAGCTATAGAATATAATAGCTACAACTATTTAATGCATGTGCACACAAGTCTGATTCTTTTCTGAAAAATTGATTAAAGAGTAGCAGCAATAGAATATATACCTAAAAAAAGCTGTAGCTTTTGAATGCACAAGCATGGAAGTCTCTGTTCTGATGCAAATGTGTTCAATGAGACTGTTAAACCATGCTCGTAAGTTGAAATCAGACATTTGTATGGTGTTAAAAGACAGTCTGGGTTCTGATGTATTAAATACTGTGTTTAAGAATACCTTGCTAGTTATTTCAAGTAATTGTGTCTGGGGGGATTCTAATAGGTAGCACAATTATATAAACTTCAGACAACCATCTAAGTAAAAAATATTACTTATGTCTTATTGACTAGAATGAAATATTCTGAAAAGGTATTCTGCATTTGTTTTTTTTCATACTTTCATAATAGTAGTATTTTACATGGATCTCATACTGCAAATTTACATGACCCATGTTTCTGTAGGTACTTCTAGTGATAATTTTTTTGTTTGTAATGGTGAATATTTTTATTTTTTGAGAGATACTATTGTTTACCAAGGGACTAGCAAGGGGGAAATCACAGAATATTTATAAGTGTGAGTATAGCAGCTGGCTAAGAAATAGTTATGGTCTGTTAGAGAATATCTGTATATGTAAGATGTGTGATCTTGTTGGAGACACATGTTTAATTACCATTAAACACTTATTTTGTAGGTCCATGAGATCTTTGAGTGTCAGGAATGTGACAAGAAATTCATTTCAGCTAACCAGCTAAAGCGCCATATGATAACTCATTCAGGTAACGTACAAAGGTAACAGAAACATATGTATATGTGTATGTATATGTATTTAACATACATTGAATTTTACCCGAATTAGTTAGACTTTTATCTGAATTATTACCTGATGGAAGGCTTGGTGAATTCTGTTTTGCCCTGAGCTGCTCAAGAAAATCTCGGGTTCCAAGGAAACCATGTAAGCTATCTTCCTAAGCCTTTCAAAAACCAAGTGTAATAATATAGTCTTCTTGCTATTGCTGCTTTGTCAAGCTATTTTTTCATGCTAGCTGGGATAGATGATGTCAGTTAGCTGGATTGGGGCGAAAGATTACTATTGATTTGTAGAGGAGGTGAAGAACCATTGGGTGAAATCTCGTGTTGAGGAGAACGTGAGTTAGGGTATGGTGTCAGTCAGAGATCTGTGACAAAAAGACAAACATTCATTCATACATATACATATAAGTGGACTCATGCACATAGGTTCCAGTTGAAGGAAGGTGGCTTGTACTCCACATCATTTCACAGACCACACACAACTGTTTCATTTTGCCAGTCATCTTTCGGAACAGGTGACTGTGAGTGGGGAGTGGCCTGTCCATAGGTTTGGCAGTATGATACAAATTGGTCGGTATTTCTGATCATTGCAGTCTAGCATTTCTAGTGATTAGAAACATCAGCTAACACAATGGAAACACAAACATTTTTCTGTCAAATACATTAGCATTTAAAATACACAGGTTTTTACAGCTGCAGAGGCTTGGAATTGAACTATTTTCTTGATATCAGTCTGCACCAAAAGCTCATTTCTCATAATCTGTATCTCAGAGGCTTCTAGCTTTCTTTTGACACTTTTGGATGAGCATTAATGTAGCTAAGTTGCAGTCACCAGTTGAAGCGTAAAGTCTTTTTGCATAGGAACTTTTGGGTTTGGAAGCTAATATGTATATTGTTAATTAAGTTTTAAAACATTTAAACTGTCATGCCCTCTTTCACATTTGTAATCTGGAAACAGAGTTTTCCTCTTTGAAGTCATTCTCTTTTGATTTAAGCTAATTAATCAGAATTTAGTTTTAGCAATAATTATTGCAAAGAATGTGCCAATTTCTTGAGATACACCATGGCTCATCTCTTGTGAAGCGACTTAACTGTCTAACATAAAGGGCATTAGATGTCTTTCTAATTGGTTTAATCTTAATTGGGTTGACTTAATTGCAGAAATCTCTCAGAGGAGATGACTGTCTCTGCCTTTCATCTTCTCCCCCTGTGTAAGCAGGAGATTAAATGTCCCCCACTCATTTTCTGCAGAAAAACGCCCCTACACCTGCGAGGTTTGCAATAAGTCCTTCAAACGACTTGATCAAGTGACTGCACACAAAATAATACACAGTGAAGATAAACCTTATAAATGCAAGCTTTGTGGAAAGGGATTTGCCCACAGAAATGTTTACAAGAATCACAAGAAGGTAAAGCACTCTGCTGTTGTTGTTTACAGGTCTGCCAGCCTCAGATTTGCAGATTTTTTTTCTTTTAAGTGGTTCATCATTAAGCTCTGGCATGCTTATAAAGAGGGGATTGACTTATTGGAGAATGTATTTTTTAGTTGTTTTTTTTTTTGTTATATCCAAAATCCCAAAATACTGAATGAATTCTAATAAGGAAAAAAACTCACCACCAACCCAGTGAAATAAGCAGAGTATCACAGTTGCTTGGTTAAAAGCATCAAATAAATCCTCATTTTGACTTTTTTTCCCCCTACTTTTTATCAAGTTATAATGTAACTGAACTGTCCTCAATTTTGTATTTTTTTTAATACCGTATTTGAATAAAACTAAGTATAGTCCTGTTGAGGCAGATGCTTTTAAACTACAGTGTATTTGCACTGGTAGTGTTCACACATTAAAACAACATCAGAAGAAACATTACCTGAAAAATAGGCTCGTGAAAGGATGCTCCATTTCTGTTGATTTAAGCTCAAATCTGCTTGGCCTAATTTCTGTAATGCTTGTCATTATTTTTAACCTGGGGTTAGATTTTTAATGGCTAGGCTATACCTATGACTGCTGTTTCAGAAATAAAGAGACTGTATAAAAAGGAAGAAAACTCACCCCTGATATACCCACACTTACAAGCCTTTCTCAGTTCAGCTCATGTTCTATGCCATCTGTGAATTTGGCACAGGATCTTTGCACCATCTCTTGCACTTTCAACCATAAGTCATGTAAGAGTAATAATAATGCCTCTTGCAGGATGAAGTGGTGATGACTGTCTAATACAGAAAGCATGTAGAAGCCTGCTGAAGGACTCCCCATATTATGCTGTGATTGTATCTCATGTTTTAGACTTCATTAAGAAAATGGGGCAGAATCTTGCCAATTGGGTCTATTTTAAGGAAAATGTGTAAAATACTATCTGGAAAGATACCATCTATATCTTAAATGAATACTTCTTACATGTTTCCTTATGGTAATTTGCAGTTGATGACTGGTAGGGAGTTTGGGCTAAAAAAAGGACTTCAGGATTAAGTGTGAATGAGTAAACACTGTGACCCAATTCTGTGTTTAAAGCAGCATCACCAGTAGCATAAGGAAGGATTAGAGTCTCCAATTAATAGGAATAATATTAAAGTTTAGACAGATTTAGTGAGAATCTAATTTTGACAGAATTCCTTTAAGCATGTTGGAATACTTCCTGAACATATTGGCACATAGTACTGGCTGTAAATCAACCCTGTCCTTATAATGAAAGGAACTTACTCCTCTGTTTACATAGAGTTTACCCAAACAACTGTGAATATTGACCCATCCATATTTAGATCTCTGATTTCCCTTGCTAAACGAAGAGATGAGTGTGAGAGACAGGAGACTGACATAGATGTCTTGATTTGCTTTTTTAGACATGCCTTTCTCCATTGAGTAAACAGTGTAATCAAAGAGAGGTAGTAGTTAATGGAGGGGAGCATGGATGCACAAAACCAGTTGTAAGGTTTAAGCCAAGGATGTGGTAGTTTGGGATGCCAAAGTAATTTTAAGTGCCATAATTTTAGAAGGGCTGCACTACTGCTAGGGGAAGAGGATGATAGTTCTTCTGCTTATTCATAGGAATAGCAATCCAGTAACAGTGGAAATTTAAAACTTTACCATGTATCATACTACTGTGTATTTCTTCAGCTTGGGATTTTAGTGATTCTTTAGGTGTGTATTCCGTTAAGGTGTCTTCCTAGGTTCCATTTTCTTTTGGAGGAAGAAAAGTTGTACTCTGAATTATTTCACAGTGCTTTTTTGAGTTACAGGTTGCAGCTACTGTGCTAGTAGCAGGGAGCTTAGAATCCTGCATTAGGAATGATGGGTATAGCGATTAAAAATACTTAAATCAACCACATTCAACAGAAAACATTCTTTCAAGTTTGATAGCAACACACTTGAAAAAGTGTTTTAGGTTTTACAGTAGAGCCACATAATTTTTATTTATAATAAGAAACAGGATGCATATTCATTTTGTGCCTTTGAATTTTTGTTTTGTCTTTTAGGTGGAAAGTTGTTGCTGTTGTTTCTGGGATTCCTTTATAGGATTATTTTATGTTGGGAGTATCAGAGTAAAAATGACTCCCACAGCGTGCTTTTAAACATCTTTCAGATATGGATAAATGTTGGGTCATTTCATCAAAAGGAGATTAGTTCCTCACATTTCACAGGATTTCACTGGGAGGTAGACAGTGGAATTGCGAAGAGTATTATCTGCTCTGTTCAGTGGAGCGTTATGATAGGAACCCTAACTTACTTACCACTCTCTTAAGTCTTCTGTGGTACCTCTCTAATGTGCTGATTCTGCACACAAGTACTACACTGCTCAGTAGGGTACATGTGTGAACTTGCTTTGTCACTTCCTTGGAGATGTCAGCACTGGGAAGTGTTATGTGAGGTGGAACTAGCTCAGATGTCTTTTCAAAAAGCTCAGGCTGTATGACCATGTGATCATATGAAGAATATGATTCCATTTTTGTGACAAGGGAAGAGAATAGTATCTGAAATTGAGGCAAATGTAGTACTGGATTATGCTACAGATAAAAGTAGTCAATGTTCTGTGCCGTATAATGCAGATTACTTCAATACAGGAGAAAGCAAAAGTTTTTTTTCCATCTGCTCCTTTGTGCTATGTATAGAGGATGAGTTCAGAGAATAAAATATGAGGATATAACAGTGAGCAGATATAGGTCAGCAGACATAGGATTTTAAAGGGTTTATAGTTAATCCAAGGTTATTTGGTCTTGGGGAGCATAATGAATTTGAACAGCCATATTCCCTCAGTTTCTCTATTGAGAATAATTGGGCTGGGTTTAAACTTCTACAAATGTTTTGTTAGAAATGGCAGATATGAAATATTCCATAAGAGCCCCTCCTCAGTTGCTTTGGTTGTACACCTGTTTTCTGCTCTGACTGAATGGAAGCCATCTCTGATCTGGGACATGTTAGTAGGACAAAAAGGGACAGTATTACAGGTAATATGGTTGTCTGGTGGGGATACCTCACCTCATTAGGACTTCCCTGGCTTTTTTGTGATAGACTTAGGTTGGTTTCGGACCACTCACAGAAGAGGCAAATAATCTCTGTTTCCTTGCATGAGGGTATGCCTGCGTAGGTGTTTGTAGTGAAGTTAAGATGTACAGGTGAATATTGTATTTTGGTCAGAAGACTAGGAGAACCGTCAAGGAAATGATAAGGAATTCTGTACAAATCTTCAGAACTATCACTCGGGTGGTGAGTGTTCTAAACCAGGACATTTTTTGAATAAGCAAGAGGAATTTTGCGCTCGTGAAAGGTGCCAGATTGACAGCCCTAGAGACTGAACCCTTCTATTTATCCACAGAACAGGTACAGCACAGACAGCAGCACTGCGAGCTTCCCCACAGTGTCTCATCAATATATCTCAGCCCTGTTCTGGAGGAACCACCTGTTGAGGTGAGAAGGTAGTTCAGTCTCTTCATGTACTGTCAATCCTTGGCCTGACTTCTGAGATTGCCAGGCAGGGTGTCATCTGATGCAAATTGATATAAACCTGTAGAATCTGGGCTGAATAATTCAGCAGATTTTATGTGTGATACATTCCACACATTTGATGATGCTTCAGTTGCCATTTTGCTTTAAGTGACATAGGCTGATATCCAGGGAATGACTTTGAATCCAAAGCTTCTGTATGCCATTGCAAGTACTCTAATGTTTTCGTACTGTTGTGTATGTAGGAGGGCATTAGTGTTAAAATAAATCTAAGTTCAAGGTCCTCAGTCTACATCTAAATAATTACACTGACTGCTCACAAATCCCTTTTTCTCCATAGTTTAAGGGATAGCTATAAATGTTGTATGGTATTATGAACAGCAGAAATAGATTATCTAAATAAGTACTACACTAATATGTACCCTTATTTACCTAATTTTGTGCATATTATAAAACACTGTCCCTTTTCCTCTTGACACAGCAGCTTCTACTTAAGATCTAATACAAAGTGATCTAATGCAAAGTTTAAACTTGATTTCCTTTGCAAAAATAGTAGGAAATTGGCTAGATAATAAATTGTATGGTTTAATTTGCTATCTGCAGTGGGACAGCACTTAATAACACTGGGAAACAGGGAAAGTGCTTTGAAATTTACAGAAGCAAAATGAAGCTAGATGTTTAAGAAGCTCCAGAAAAGAAATCTGCTTCAGCAACTTTGCAGTTTGAGAGATTCATCCAAGCTTAGGCCCTTTTATTTTATGTATGACTTTGAGGCTGTTTCTCACCTATGATAACTTCTGCAACAAACATAACCCTCAGTACTGATACTCCTATTTTTTTTTTTTTTTTTTTTTGTCTTTTAGTACAAGAAGCTGACACAAGGATATGTAAGACTAGGTTCATTATTTGAGAAATTTTCTTGGCCAGATTTTAGATACTGCCTTGAGATAATCAGATCAGATTTACCCTCAGACTTAACAAAGGTTTTTGTGTACGTTTAATTAGAATCATAGAATAGTTAGGGTTGGAAAGGACCTTAAGATCATAGAGTTCCAACCCCCCTGCCATGGGCAGGGACACCCCACACTAAACCATGTCACCCAAGGCTCTGTCCAGCCTGTCCTTGAACACTGCCAGGGATGGAGCATTCACCACTTCTTTGGGCAGCCTGTTCCAGTGCCTCACCACCCTCACAGTAAAGAACTTCTTCCTTAGATCCAACCTGAGCTCCCCCTGCTTCAGTTTGAACCCACCAGCCCTTGTCCTACCAGTGCAGTTCCTAATGAAGAGCCCCTCCCCAGCATCCCTATAGGCTTTCAAGCATTTATTCATATTAGTAAGTACTTAAGGCCAGTGTGAGTACTGATGACACAGTGCAACTGAGCTTTTGGTTTTGTTTTTTTTTTCCTGGTTATTCTATATTTTGTTTCTGTTTAAATACATACCTCAGAAAACAGTTCTTGAGGACTGGAAAGGCATATTTATTCAGTGGCTGATAGCTGATTTTTGGGATTCTTGGTAATGGCAGAATGATTGTTAATTCTTCATCCCCTGATGTTTCAAATTGTTGTGATATTCCCTCCTGAATTCAGACTAGTGAATTAGCTATAATTACTGTAATGAGAGCTAATTGATTTCCTTGAGCCTTTCCTCTTACATGTTGTCTTTCATCTGCAGACTCATTCTGAAGAGAGACCATTCCAGTGTGAGGAATGCAAAGCTTTGTTCCGAACCCCGTTCTCTCTACAAAGACATCTGTTAATCCATAACAGTAAGTGCTAAGAGAGGGAAAAGAAGTTCCTCAGTTCTCACATTTGACTGAGTAAAGCAGACATATGGCGCCTTGCTCCAGTATGCAATTTGCTATATTAAATTAGTATTGAGATTCAACTCTAGCCCCAGGAAGTTAGAAGATTCAAAGTCAAGTTCAAAACTTGTCTTTAAATGCACTTAAATGCAAATCCAAATATGCTGTATAAAATCTAGCAATGACTTGAAGTCTGATGGCAGATTTATTTGTGCATAAAGCATGACAGTGTTACCTCCATTTTAAGAAAGAAGAAATGGAGGCAGAGATAACTTGGTGGCTTACTCAATTTTTGTAGATAATCCTGTTTAGAGCTTGAAACTGAGATTCTCTGTCCTGTGCCAGATCAGGCTAATGTTTCCTGCCTGTGGCATAGAACTTGCAGCCAAGAGAAATGCTGTGGCCATTTTCCCTCATGAGTAACTTGTTCTTGGCATTCTGTACTATTTTTTAACTGTCTGCATAAAGATTTATTTTTGGTGGAATTTTCCCCGTCTTTGATATTGACAGAGCCCAAGGCTACCATTCGACAATGTGAATATCAGCAATTTAAAGTTTAGAAAATAGTCATGGTCTAAAATCCTTGTAGCTTAGAAGGCAGTACTTTGATTTGGAGAATATTTATGTTGGTATAATTAAGAACACCACAAAACTTTTGTTTGTCAGTCCTGTAAATACTGGTTATATTAGACGAATTGTTAGACTGGTGTGTTTAATTTGTTCTTTTATAATTATCTTTCAGAACTTCTGTGATTTCATAAAGCATTGAATTTAAAAGTTTTTTTCTAGTGTTAAATGTTTAAAAATGATTGCAGGGGGTGGGGTGTTTAAAAACCTGTTTAGCAATGTATTTTCTAATGAATGAAGCATTTGCAAAACATCCAAAAGCAGTAAATTCACAGTGCACAGAATAGTTTGCCTTGGTAAAGATCTCTCTAAAAACATATATGACTATTTTTGAAGAGGTTTGAGCTAGGGTTGTGATTTGTGGCAGGTTTAGTTGTTCCTGAACCACCAGTATTTAAGCAAATACAGAATATATCAGACTGTGAACTGCACTGGCACAGACACTGTCTTGTCAGTCTTCCTTAGTGCAAAAGGAGACATATCTGCTGAATTACAGAGTAGGTGTTTGAATAGGTAAATTCTGCCTTACCAGTATAGGTAAAACTGCCTCCAAAATGAGTCCAAGCCTTAAACTGAAAAGACTTGCATTTTTATTAATCACAGGAAAGATTTTTAAAACTTTCTTTTTTTTTACTTTTGAAAAAAAAGGCTCAACAACTGGGCAGCTTAATAAGGAGGCCTTAATACAGCAGAATATAATCAAAGTTTTTACAGTCATACTGCATCTTTCATCTGTAGGGTTCAAAAAAAGAAGTGCTGACAGACCAGTAGCAAGGTGAAAGTCATTACTAGGATGAACTGAAGAATAAACAGCTTTTAGTTCAAGGCTGTGATTAAAACAAGGGGCTCTGCTGTTGTCTGAAAAGAGCTTGTGTTCCAGAGAAGAAATGTAGAAGTCTTCTCCTCATGACCTAACTCGTGAGACTGAGAAGTTGTGATGACATGATAATGAGCCTTTCATATTTGAAGTAACTCAGAATTACTGGCATTGTCCTTCTACAGCTGGATGGTAGTCCCTTTCATAGCTCTGAAATATACCTGCTCTATAAAAAACAGGAGGGAAACAAACCAGAACTTCCGGATATATTTATCTGGCTTTGCTGTGGTGTGCTGTAGGAAAGAAAAAAATTGTTTGTGAAGCTTGAAACTTGAAGGGAAAATTGAAGGTCGTTCTACATCTTTTTTTTAAATTCAGTATCCCCTTGTTGGTTTAGAGGCAGGCCCTCTGGAGAATGATGTAGAATAACTTAAATTTTATTTTACAAACTAAATAGGCTGGAAAAATTCATATTTTATAAACTAGTTTTTCAGGTGTTCCTGTCTTGTAATTGGAAAAGGTGTCATGAATAAAACTTTACAAATTGAACATCAAGTATATCTAATTAACCAATAATAATAAAAATCCAAACTCTTCTTTCTACCCTCCCTCCCCAGGCTCTAGCTGTAGAAATGTAACCCATCTTCTGAGAGTCAGGCAAATTCTTTCTCCTAGGCATGCTGCTGATAATACTTTTAGTAACTGTATTCTCATTATGTCACTGTCAATGTTGGGGCTAATCCTTTATTCTTAGCTATAGTGTTTAGGGAGGAGATAAGGTACATAAGTGCATAGTACCTCATAGCTCATACTAGCTCATGAGGCCATAAGAGACTTGACTAACAAGAATGAGTAGTCCTGAACAGTTTTACTTGGGTGATTTAGTTATTTAGGATTGTGGAGACATGCATGAACATGATTGCATTTGCAAGGAGGACATAATCCACATTATGTATTTGCTTTCCAGGGTAAAAATCTGCATGCGGAATGTTTGTTAGGGGGAGAAATATTAATTAGCTATTGCTACAGGGATCAGCAGAAGCGGGCACTGAAGATCACTCATTTAAATAAAGAATGTGTAGTCCTGATTTTCATTTTCTTGTTTTGTCATGAAGAGGCTGCATCAGTGGAATAGGTAATGTCAGTCACAGGAAAGATACATTATGTTGTGTATTCCTGGGGGAAAGCACTGTAGGATATGCTAGTGCTCTGTTTTCATCTTGGGAGACATTTATCAATATCATGTCAGGTACTCTGAAAAAGTTTCCTGCCTTCAGTGGTTTCAAGAGCTGAGTCAGTGATAAACTTTCTTGTTTACTTCCATTGTCTGGGGTGCCTAGGCCTGAAGAGAATCGATGTCTACCTTTTGCTATTTTATTTTGTAACAAACCTCTAGATCTATCACAGTGCAAACATGTTGACTGACAATACAAAATGGAAATTCTTTATTTTTATACATTAATATTAGGAATATATTTGGAATCTTTAGTATTACTCTTATCTGCCAAAGAGTTTGTTTTTGGCAGTGATCATTCTTAAGCGTCAGATATGATTTTACATTTATGATATGAAACGTGGTTGTTCTTTATCACAATGAGGTATTATGAAACAGGTTCCATGACCTTTAAGGTCCATTCCAACCCTAACGTTTTTATGATTCTGTGATTTCCAGAGCTGCTCAGGAAGTTTTAGTGCATCTTTTTGCAAGCAGTTTTGATTATTGCTTTATGCTGTTGAGAAACCGTCAAGACCTCCTTACGTAGTTGTGTACCAGTGGTATTTTGAAACTAAGTTTTCATGTATCTTTATGGCTTAAAAAAAACCCCAAAAACAGTAAGGTGTAAAGACTGTTCAGTGAGCTAGCTTTGCATGGAGATAATGCAATGTCAAATGGCTCCTCTGTAATGAGATATAGGGTTTCTGCTAAATAAGGAAGCTGAGGAGAAACACTGATTATTTTCCTTCATCTAGAATAACACTTAAAAAATTAGCAAATTCTAGGCTTCCCGTTGCTTTGCATGTTGAAGAATTTTGCTAAACTTTTACCCAGAAGTTGGTGAAACGCATACTTGGTTTAGTAACTATATATGGTTGAAGAGTATTATAAATTCAGGAAGATGTCTCTTACCATTTAAATTTCAAAAGATTAAGCCTATTGCATCTTTTGCTCGTTACCATAAAGAGAGTCTGTTAAAGAGGTTCTGATAAAACCTGTGCTCCATCTTGCTGTCAGCCATTTCCACTGGATGCCATTTTACCTTTGGCTATAGAGATTGATTTCACATTTCTGGCTACATTGTTGTCAGGACTACTTCCTTAATTTCTAAATGACCTGATTTGATGTTCTTTCTGTTCTCAGAACCCAGCTTTTCATTTGTCTTTGCTGCTTTTATTCATTATTCTGAAACAGTAAGTATTAGTGTATTTCCACAAAAATATAATACCTTTAAACACTGTTTTTCTCTTTATAAGGTGAGAGGACTTTCAGGTGTGATCACTGTGATGCTACTTTCAAAAGAAAGGACACATTAAATGTTCATATTCAAGTTGTACACGATGGACATAAGAAATACAAGTGTGATCTCTGTGACAAAGCTTTTGTGACACCCTCAGTCCTAAAGAGTCATAAAAAAGTGAGTAGAATAAGTTCTGTCATATTAATTTGTTCTGTGTCCTTAAGATGGTAATAAACATAAAATCCCCAGATGCTTCTGCATTTCTGGCTTTTCAGTAGAAAGCTATGATGGTGCTTCACATCCTAAAATGCTTATTGCAGTAGTGGGATTCTTGGTGGCATGCAGAATCTGTAGTGTGTGCATATGTATAAATTCAATGTAGGTACTCCAGCATCTGGTGTGTGGCTGGACTTGCTGCACTATTCTTGCCATATTCCTTCCCACTGATCTCTGTGGTGGAATTGGGGTAAACTTTAGAAGAAAACTTGCTCACTAGTTGTGCGTGAGGTAAGGTTTATGTTACAGCAAAGAAATGAGAAGAAAGTAATTGAATTGAGAACAAATCAGCTGAGGCATTGCCACCAAATGCAGATTGCAAGAGTTTATTGCAAAACATGATGCGTACATTGTTTGCCATGTAGTATGCCCTTCATATGTGCATGTAAAATTTTAGTAAGGAAACTGAGTGTAACTGAATTGCTTAGTACAATATTTTCAGCACATAATTGTTGTGAGTCCTATGCATTACAACACAAATATATGTTCAAAATTGAGGAAAAAATATAAGGGAGTCTTCCAATGTCTCTCCAACCCTATGTTACAGCTGTGGGAACTAGTACACATCTTTAGAGCCTAAACCAAGTTACTGGCAGATAGTAGACTATTGAAATCTGTAAGGTAGTGGATGGCACTGTCTCCTTAATGTGTAAAAAGTATTTGCAAAAAGTATTGGAACCACCTGTGAATGAGTGGTCTTTTAAAGATCTTGATCTTCCATTAAATGTATGTTAATGCATTTGCTGTCTGCTTTCAGTCTGTTTTAAGTGCTGCTTATTCCATATTTAATATGCATTAAGTTACTTAGTAATTATAGTTGCTGGAAAATAAAGTTTCCTGTGATTGAGTGACTTAACTGTGTAAACAAGATACATTCCTCTCAGATATGCTTAGTGGAAGATTTTTGCCTGTTCTTCAGAAGAGCTTAAATGACGTGGGTTGCCTTGTTTATAGACTGCAGTACATGTACTGTAAGAGAATTTAGATTCAAATAACCAGGATCATTAGTTGTTCAGCCTGTTATATGAGTTGAGTTTTGCTGTAACAGAGAGAGAACTTTATAATACTATATATTTATACATAAGACTATATATTTATATATACTATTTATATATAATACTATATATATAATACTCTATAATACTCTTTTATAATACTCTTTTTCAGAGTATTAAAACACATTTGTTTTTCAAGCCTGAATATATTGGTCCAAGAACTAAAAAACAAATGGTATGCAAAATAAAATTGTGTTCCTGGGGAGCAAGACTTCAGGGGGGAATAGTATCATTCATTAAGCAAATTGATTTCTTTGGGAAGCAAGACTGCTTTACAGCACACAATCCTTTTCATCCTTATCTACTTGTTCTAATCACTTGAGTTAACAGACCTAGCTTATAATACTGATACATTGAGTTCAGATCAATTTTTTGTGAAGGATGGATTGTAAGATCCAAAAGTCAAAGTATTACCTGGAATCATTGATGTGCTCTGCATAATTTTTTAAAAATTTCCCTAAAGTCCTTTCTAAAAAATTCAGTATGACTTACTATTTCACATTAAAAATGACTGTGTGTACTTGTATTTTAATGGAAAGTACCTGGTGGTTATTATTTATCCCCGTTCTCTCTTTGGCATTCCTACTTAATTGTAATTGCTATTGCTCTATGCTGCTGTCAGACTAGGACAAGCTATATGTTTGTGAGCCTTTTAGTTGTACTGTATTGTTCCCAGAAATCCTTTCTGGTAGTTTGAAATGTATTAAGTGAATATGGTATTCCCTAATACTGCTGTTAGAGAGAGAAGTGATTTCTAAAGAAATCTATCCTAATCAAGAAGGATTTAACATTGATACCCCTAATGTTGGGGAATAAAAATGCTGCAAGTGCATCCAGTGTTGAAATGGATGCATCTCATTTACTCTTCCTTGCCTCTTTACAAATGCCCGTAGGACAGGGAGCAAACAAGAGGAATTAGAGATGTGTGCACGTCTACGGGGGTATGATATAATAGGCATCGCAGAAACATGGTGGAATGGCTCCTATGACTGGAGTGTTGGAATGGAAGGTTACAGGCTTTTTAGAAAAGACAGGCCTGGCAGGCAGGAAGGGGGGTTGCCCTTTATGTTAGGGATAGGCTGGAGAGTATGGAACTCTGTCTGGGGACAGGTGATCAGTTAACAGAGAGTTTGTGGGTCAGGGTTAAAGGGAAAACGACTATGGGAGACATTACTGTGGGGATCTATTACAGACCGCCTAATCAAGAAGAACCTGCGGATGAAGCACTCTATAGACAGATAGGAACAGCCTCACGCTCACAGGCCCTTATTCTCATGGGTGACTTCAACCACCCTGACATCTGTTGGAAGGACGGTACAGCCGGGCACAAGCAATCCAGGAGGTTCCTTGATTGTGTGGAATACAACTTCCTTCTGCAAGTAATAGAGGAACCGACAAGGAGAGGTGCCATGCTTGACCTCGTGCTCACCAACAGGGAAGGGCTGGTTGGAAATGTGACGCTCCAGGGCAGCCTTGAGTGCAGCAATCATGAGATGGTCGAATTTGAGATCCTCAGGACAGTGAGAAGAGCATGCGGGAAGCTCACTGCCCTGGATTTCAAAAGAGCAGACTTTGGCCTCTTCAGGAACCTGCTTAGTAAGGTTCCATGGGATATAGCCCTAGAGGGCAGGGGGGCCCAAGACTCTTGGTTGACATTCAAGGATCACCTGCTCTAAGCTCAGGAGTGTTGCATCCCCACTAGAAGGAAGTGCAGCAGGAGGGCCAGGAGACCTCCTTGGATGGGTAAGGAGCTGCTGAGGAAAATTCAAAGGAAAAAAGAGGCTTATAGTAAGTGGAAGCAAGGACAGGCGGCCTGGGAAGAATATAGGGATATTGCTCGGGAAGCTAGGGACCAGGTTAGGAAAGCTAAGGCCCAGTTAGAATTAGACTTGGCTAGGGATATTAAGGATAAGAGGAAGGGATTCTACAGGTACGTAGCAAATAAAAGACAGACTAGGGACAACGCAGGCCCCCTGTGGAAGCTATCAGAACTGGCTACACAGGATTTGGAGAAGGCTGAGGTTCTGAATGACTTCTTTGCCTCAGTCTTTACTGGCAAAGGCTCTGACCACACCGCCCAAGTCTTGGAAGGCAGACACAGGGACTGTGAGAATGAAGACCTTGTGCCCACTGTAGGAGAGGATCTGGTTTGAGACCATCTTAAAAATCTGAATGTGCACAAGTCCATGGGACTTGATAAAATCCATCTGCAGCTCCTGAAGGAGCTGGCGGATGAAGTTGCGAAGCCACTGTCCATCATACTTGAAAAATCATGGCAGTCAGGTGAAGATCCCCACGACTGGAAAAAAGGAAATATAACCCCCATTTTCAAGAAGGGGAAAATGGATGACCCGGGGGATTACAGACCAGTCAGTCTCACCTCTGTGCCTGGCAAAATCTTGGAGCAGATTCTCCTGAAAGGAATGCTAAGGCACATGAAAATCAACAAGGTGCTTAGTGACAGCCAGCATGGCTTCACTAAGGGGAAATCCTGCCTGACCAATTTGGTGGCCTTCTATGATGGGGCTACAGACCTGACGGACAGGGGTAGAGCAGTTGACGTCATCTACCTGGACTTGTGCAAAGCGTTCAACACTGTCCCACACGACATCCTTCTCTCTAAATTGGAGAGACATCAGTTAGATGGATGGACCACTTGGTGGATAAAGAACTGGCTGGATGGCCGCACACAGAGCTGTGGCCAGTTGCTCAATGTCCAGCTGGAGACCAGTAACGAGTGGCGTCCCTCAGAGATTGGTGTTGGGACTAGTCTTGTTTAACATCTTCGTCGCTGACATGGACAGTGGGATTGAGTGCGCCCTCAACAAGTTTTCCAGTGACAGCAAGCTGTGTGGTTTGGTTGATATGCTGGAGGGAAGGAATGCCATCCAGAGGGACCTCAACATGCTTGTGAGGTGGGCTGATGCCAACCTCATGAAGTTTAACCATGCCAAGTGCAAGGTCCTACACCTGGGTTGGGACAATCCCAGGCACAGCTACAGGTTGGGCAAAGAAGAGATTTAGAGCAGACCTGTGGAGAAGGACTTGGGGGTGTTGGTCGATGAGAAAATGAACATGAGCCAGCAGTATGCGCTTGCAGCCCAGAAAGTCAACTGTATCCTCGGCTGCATCAAAAGGAGAGTGACCAGGAGGTGGAAGGAGGTGATCCTGCCCCTCTCCTCTGCTCTTGTGAGACCTCACTTGGAGTATTCTGTGCAGTTCCGGTGTCCTCAACATAAAAAGGACATGGAACTGTTGGAAGAAGTCCAGAGAAGGGCCACGAGGATGATCAGGGGACTGGAGCACCTCCTGTATGAAGATAGACTGAGAAAGTTGGGGCTGTTCAGCCTGGGGAAGAGAAGGCTGCGTGGAGACCTCATAGCAGCCTTCCAGTATCTGAAGGGGGCGTATAGGGATGCTGGGGAGGGACTCTTCATTAGGGACTGTAGTGATAGGACAAGGGGAATGGGTTAAAATTTAAACAGGGGAAGTTTAGATTGGATATAAGGAGGAAATTCTTACCTGATAAGGTGGTGAGGCACTGGAATAGGTTGCCCAGGGAGGTTGTGAATGCTCCATCCCTGGCAGTGTTCAAGGCCAGGTTGGACGAGGCCTTGGGTGATATGATTTAGGGTAAGGTTTTCCTGCCCATGGCAGGGGGTTGGAACTAGATGATCTTAAGGTCCTTTCCAACCCTAACTATTCTATGATTCTATGATTCCTTCAGCTGCAGTGTAATAACGTACGATGTGAGGTAATGAAGACTTTTATGTCACTTCAGTGTCGTTAATAATAAGAAGAATTAATTTCCCTATCTGAAGAGAGTTATGTGCAAAGCTTGAAACCCAAATAGTCAGCTGTGCATATGATTTAATGTGTTATCTTTCCTATCCTATTTGAATGAGCACTTGGAAATGAAGGGATTCAAAATTCTTCACTAAAGGAGCAATCTCATTTATAAGGAAACATTATTTGATAGGCTGGTATATCTTCAGTTCAGAATAGGCCGTAGAAAATGTCAAAACTGATGAGAAGCTGTGTTTGTGACTTAGTTGAAGGTGGTCTTGCTGCCAACCTCCCAGGTTGTATGGGAGATTTTGAGATTTTTGAGATTTTTTTTTTAATTTTTGTTTTTATTTTGTAATAATTCTTCTTAGCAGCAAGGTGCTTTAGCCTGAGGAACTTGATTTCATAAGGCAAGCTCAGTGTATGATTCATTATTAGTGACAATTACAATATTATTTTTGTTATAATTCTCTAAATGCAGTCTGATTCTAGAACTTAAGACAAGCTAGTATGTCCAGTATGCAAGTTGTGTTGACTGAATTGTTGAGAACTTACACTTTGAAGGATTGCTATCTGTCATACTTCAGATGAACTGTTGGCTGTGTTTCATTTGTATGAGACAGAAACCATATGCGCAAATCTCCATAAAGACATTTTAAAGTTTTGGTTCAAGTCTGCAACAGGAAGAGTAATGATAGGTTAGGTAAACTATTTTCACAACAGTTCATAATGTAATAAAATCCTGTGAAATTATAAGCTGTTAAAAATAGACCCATTTATGAAGATTAGTTGTATTAGATAACCAAATTAACGTTTATTGGAAACCACTATCACAGATACCAAACTGAAAAATAGGTGTCTTATTCTTGCAATCATGAAAACAAATAGAGTTGGATAGGACATTTTTGATAGTAACTACTTTTAGGAAATAGTAAACTTAAGAACTGAAAAGCCAGATTATTTTGCCATTAGTAATGAGAGTCATTTAAAAGTTTTAGAAGAAAAAATGAAAGAATCTCTGCCTTGTATGATGGTATAACATGTATAATGGAGATAATAGTGGTCAACGTCAATACAGTTAAAATATTCTATATTCCACTTCTTTGAAAGCTATGCTGAAGCTTTCATTCTTGTCTTTCTCCACCCCGTGTAGACTCACACAGGAGAAAAAGAGAAGATTTGCCCATATTGCGGACAGAAGTTTGCAAGCAATGGAACACTGAGAGTTCATATTCGAAGCCATACAGGTACAGTGTTGTTTATTATAATCAACAGAGATGACTTTCTCAGTATGTAGCAGGGTGTCTATAAGTATGTCCATGATTTGTCTATCTACAAACAGAAATGCAAATTTACAGGTAGGCCTAACACAGCATCATTTTCAGACATCTTACCTGCTTAATGTGTAAAAGCATATTCTGTTCTCAACTACGATTATGTACGAGAGTGTGTATGTAAGTGTATGAATGTTTATATGTATATACAATGTAAGTTCATCTTTCTGGTAGCAAAGGTGTTTTGACACTCTGACTTCATATTAATGTAATTTCTGACCTTATCACAACTTGCACGCTACCCAAATTAGAATGTTCTACCTTGTGTATGCTTTAACTCAAAATTTATTTTCTTTTGCAACATCTTATTCATTCTGCAGGTCTCCTAATGTTCCTGGGTCTGATACATGCAGCTTATTGCCACCCAGATTGCATTACTGTAATGCTGTTGTGTTATACATGTGCATCTATGCACACACTGAAAATAAATTAGTCATGTTGTCAGGTTTCATTTTGTGATCTTATACTTTCATTCAGGTAAGTGGCAGCATCTGAAAGGGGTTTTCATTGTGATAATTTGATTCCCGTATAAAATGGTATAGATTTGCCTTTGGCAGTCAAAGCATCAGTTAGCAAATAGCCTTCCTATGACATTCCATTCACTTGGCATAAGCAAATTTCGTTTCCAGGGAGATGACAAGAATTTGTACTTTTAGTCATTTGGCTTTCTACTGTGTCTGGAAAAGTCTGAGTCACTTCAATCTGTCAAGACCACCTCTTAAGTTTACAGGTTTACTCGTTTTTGATACATTGGGATTTTTGGATTTCGCTGCTATAGACACTAGCAAATTTTTATCCTCTTCCTGCAGGATGAAGGCTAAAATTGACTTCTGTCTTTAGCTGTTATTATTTACTAAATTCCATTTTTGGAACATTTATCCTTCTTGGCAGCAATATAAAATAATATACATAGAAGCCTCTGTATATTCATTCTGCTCATGTTGTTTACATACACTGTATAATCACTGATACAAAAACCAGAAGGTCAAAGCTGGCAAGACCCAAAATCTGTCTGTTGCTCCAGTTTGTTGACATTCTTTCTTCTACGCACCTTATCAACTCCTTTCAAAGCCCTTCCTGCACATATTTTTTTTTTGACTTCCTGAAGATTCATATCAAACAATATTCTAATTCTTCATTAAAATCTCTGGATTCACATTTCAACATTTTTTTGCAGGCAAGTCTGCTTTATGGCCTTCGCTAGTGTGACACTTGTGTTTTCTTATTTCACAGGCCCTTTCCTTAAACTTCAGGTATGTTTTCTGTGTACTATGAATGTTATACATCAGTTTGCACAGAGTACAAAGGTCCTAGATTTTCAAGTTGATAGTGCAGATAGCTCTTGGGGAAAATGCTTTATAGCTGTCTGGGTGAAAATGCTTTTCACACATGTGCTGCTACCAGTTACACTTAATGTTTCAGCTCTCAAGCAGGCTTTCCTGAATTTAGAAGTTAGGCTAAGCTGATGTTCATGAAACCATGCACCAGAGACCTCTAACCTCGACTATAGAGCCTAGCAAAATTTGTAGCCAGTATAACACAAGAAATGGTAACTATGACATTTTGAATTTACTTGAAGTAGAAAGGCACTGAAGATTTTCAACTCATTTGTAAATTAAGTGTGGTGGGACAAACTGTCTTGCCAGCATATGATACAGGTTGGAATTAAGGGGATATGCAGTGTGGAAATGACCCACTGCAGGAGGAGGGAGAGTTCAAGGCCTGTTTCGTTACCTAAAAAGCTAGAAGCACTCATTTTGAAGAGGGTTGCTAATTCAGGAAAATAGTTTAAAAAAATAATCTGTAAGTTACACGGCAAAATGCCTTACGTGAGGTTTAGTGAGAACATGCTGTAGTTAGATGCATGTTAGACTTTTATAGAGGTTGTTTTGACTTGTGCTGTACCTGAAGACTTTAGCCAAGTTGTTCATGATCATAATAGATGCAGACTAATCACAAAAGGAACTTGTTGTCCAATGTTCAGTGGGCCTGAGGACGCATAGCTTTCTGAGGAATAGCTTGCATCATTTCTGAGAAAGCAGGGATAGTTGATGAAGGGAATCTGTGTCATTTGCAAACAGTACAAAAATACTTGAAGTACTTATTTGATGGCTTTTAGCAATAAAGTTCACTGCATTGTGAAAATCCTTGACAACTTTTTGGGTATTTTTCTGAGTGCCAAGAAATTTGCAGCTCATCAAACAGTGGAGCCGCAAACTTACTTTATTCAGTGATGGATGTTTGGTTTCAAAACATTGCCGTATTGAATACTTCATGCTCTTGATATCTATTAAATTCTGTGGTTTTGAATTGATCAGTTAAAAACTGTGCTCTCTTTTCATTTCTTGTGACTTTTCATTCTGACCTAGAAGTGAAACAACCAGCAGCCATGGTCTGCTTTCAAGAGATGGATCATCTTTGTGAATAAGCCTTCAGCTGGGGATGAACTTTGTTGCAGCTAAGCAGTACACTATAAGTGTAAATATTACAAAGACCTTCATGTCTTAGTGATTAGTTTGAGGTCTTGGTGCAGAGATATGTATTACACCGCTGTGCATATGGTCAGCTAGACTTTGTTTTATTAGCTACTTGGTTCTGTATTTAAAAAATAAAGCCGGCAGTTCTTTTTAAAGAGAGTTGTGTATCAGTTTTTATCCTTTTTTTTTTTATAAAGCTGTTTTTGATAAAAAGTCAAGGTTGTCGGGTCTGCTTTGGAATTGTATTGTCATATGCTTAATAATCCATATACAAAAAGAGAAGCTCAATGGAATTTTGGCTTATATTTAATACACAGCAGATGTTCTTCAATATTGTTACTCAGAGATGTATGCATGTTTCCTTGATAAGCAGTTTTCTTCCCTCTTTTATCTTAGAGTAAGACTCTGTAAATGAGCCCTAACAGTACTTGGCCTGTTGCAGAAACTGAGCTTGTTTGGGGTGAGTGAACATGTCTGCATGTGCATGTACAGAGGGAAGGGGTTGATGTTTGCATCTGAACCTAGCATATTGCTCTGTAATTCATCATTTCAGCCTTGGCATGACAGAGACAGTGCTCTGTAGGTCAGCTGAAACACTATAGCACATTCTCCCTCTGCTGTATCTTGTTGGTTTATGACTTCTTAGGATCAGAGGGAGCTGGGGTTAATTTGGCAAAAGAATCCTCTGACTGTGATATAAATTCCTTGGCTTGTTCATAAATTGTAAAAGAAATTCTATGGTCTGCTCCTTGGGCTTGAAAACTAGGGGCCAGGAGGTTAATTACTTCCCTAAAGTTTCCTTAAAGTTTTCCGTAAAGCAGCTTCAGTGTTAACGGTTACTGGCTGTGGCTTATGCAACTTCTCAGTTTCTTTATGCATAGCTATTTAGATCTAGTAATTGCTGTATTGTGTGTTTGTGTGTACATCTATTTGTGTGTGCCTATGTAATGTATTTGTGCACATGCGTTTTATCTGTCTGATACTTACACTGTTGCTTTCCTAATTAGTTGTGTCCTAATCCCGTTCATCATTGTGATGTAGCACATCAAGTTGTTACAATAGAAGTTGTTCTATTAGTAGAACAACTACTTGTAGTAGTTGAGGTAGTTTATATTTGCAGGTAAATTTTTTTCTGTGTTAAGAAAATGAAGTGTTTGAACTGTAATTCCATCCTTTGCATGCTATCTTTTTCTACTACATTACATAGGGACTGAGGAGGGACAACTAATGACCATACACGTCTTCCAGAAAATGCTTATATATGCAAATATAGGTTAAGACATAAACTTTGTTTTTGCTTTTTTCACCACAGTTAGTCAAAGTATTGCTAAAAAGTCACTAAGATTACGATTACTTTATTTTGTCCTAAATGTTTTTTGAAAAGGTGAATGTTTATATTCTGTGTCATTTAAAAGGCATGACTTAATGTGGCATTCTTACATGTTACAGTCTCTGGTATGTGGAAAAGCTGCTTTATTTTGTAAGTGTGAGTTAAGAAGGTTCTTTGTTAATTTGTTTCCATATATACATGAGTAAGAGATAATGCCAAGATACTGCATTAGAACAGTGAAAAGCATTGGGACCATAGACTTCCATAGCCTTTGTGTCAACACAGTTAAGCTTGCCTTTTCCATTTCCGTTTTCATAACTAAAGACTCTTTATAAGCTCATGAAAACATTTCATCTTACTTGCTCACTGTAACTTTAGGTGCTGGTTGCCTTTTTGAGATGTTTGTCATCCTCTGCATTGAGGATGTGATGTTGTGATCCTCACTTTGCCATTGTAGTCACATTTTTACAGTTTAACTAGTCATTTGAGCATGTTTAAGATCATATTTATGGTCCAACTGTTTAAAAATCTAGGCCTAAATTTTGCACTTTTATGTAAAAATTCCTGAGTAAACAATAAAATATTAGTTATGTAGTTATAATAATGATCTTTGCTTATTAACAGTAGTTGAATTATCTGCGAGCAAAAGACTTCAAAGTAATTGAAGGAAGAAGTTGAAGAACAATTTAACTTTAGTTTAGTACTGTGTAAAATATGCCCCCAAAGTTGTAATAGCTAAAGAAGCAACTGTTTATTCATGTACATAAGAAATAATGTACAACCAGGATCCTTATTCTAGAAAATCTACTGGCAAATTACCTTACAAGTAATAAATGTTTTGTTACATTAAAAACAAAAAAAAAGAAAAAGAGAAAAGAGAAGCTTAAAGGACTTTCCTCTCATAACACATTGAAGTATGTGGAAAAACGTATCTGTGTCTAGTCAGTGAACAGCTAGCAGGTGCTTACAGATAAACAGATTGTTTCTATTCAGTAACTTATAAATGATCTCTCTTTTGTCTACTGAATTTAAAAAGGAGCTTACAGAAGACCTCAAAGGTAAGGATTCTGCATTTCTAAACTTTTCAGTTTATGCATCATTGTTCT